TCCAAATATATGTCTCCATCTCATTACGAATAAGACCACTGACAGTCTCAACCGAAAGTAACTCTCCTCTGATTGTTGTTCGACACTAGATATCAGAGGTGGGAGAGGAGAGACCCAATCTGTCTCTGTGTTGGAATAATAATCTGGGAATTCATACCATAATTGGCTTGCCAATCAGAAGAAAGAAAATAATTTTTTTTATTATTATTGCTGTTACAAAACCAACTAGATAACATGATAACATTCAAAGTATCTCCGAACGATCGTAATACTGGGAAACCCATTAGTGATGCTTTGTCAAGAAAAAAGTGATAAAATTATCTGAATGATGTGCTTCTATACTGTACCAGGATAGAGAGCACATTGACATAGGTGGAGAGTATCACAAGACAATTATCACCAAGGGCAACTGAGTGGGGTATAAAAAACCAGAGCAAGCAAGAAAAAATCAGACCAATGCTTAGATGGGCAAGGAAGAAACCATGGCAGTCAAGTAATAGCTATAAGTGGCAGTGGAGGTTTTAGAATATTCATACTTAGTTTATACAGATGTGTTCAGATTAGGTATTTAAAATTTCCAACACAAGGATATTCCTTGTACTTAAAGGCAATGGAAAACAAAGGAATATGGATCAATACCATGACCATCTAGAAAGGGAGTGTAACAAGTTGTACCCAAGCCATGGTAACTAAAGTGCAGTATTTTTTAACAGGTAAGAATCAACAAATAAAAAGGACAGTAGCAAATGCTAATCATGTGATCCAGATAACAATACATAACATAATGAAGAAGGATTTCTGTATAGAAAAGTGACACATGTCATGTACAAGCAAGATACTTCTACTACTTATCCATTACATTGTAGCATACCTCAAGTAGCTGGAGAATAAAACATATATTCCTGCTATTCAATATGAAGATACCCAGGTAAAGTCACAAGAAACAGTGCCTGTGAACTTCTGTGTGATAAGAATGTTGAAACAAGCACTGTATTTGTATACTAGATAGATTATGGAATCTATGCAGATAAGTGATTTGCTTTGAACATGACAGCCTTATGGCAGAGCCTTTTACAATGGCAACTACATGCAGGACAATTGTCAAGATGCATGGTCATAAGATAGAGCATGACCAGACATTGCAACATGGCGAGGCTTTAAAATTATTTTAAAACTTTCAGTAAAAGTTGGTTGATACAATTTGTTACAAGTTCAATTTAATTATCTTCATAATTTCAACTGTTAACCTTTTCCAAATCTGTTTTTTTTAACCCTATAATTATAGACACTCCTGTACTGTGCATGTCACAAGATTTTACTTTGTTACATTCAAAATTTAATTAAGCAATCTTAATATCAATGTATACCAACAAAATTAGCACTAAAATTTACATTATAGTTCAAAGTTTTATATTATCTAAGTTTAATTCATTTACTTAAAAAAAACCTAAAAGTAAAATTCTTAAACTTCAGTTTGACGCACAATTTCACAAAGTTTTAACCTTTAAGATTTTGTAACTTGAAAACGAGTTGGATATACTAAACATTCTATATATAGAAAGGATTTAGGTTAATTGCTCTGTTTACACATTCTTCTTTCAAGCTCTTTAGGGGATGTTAGGAGAAAAGAGACTTGAAAGATACCATGCCCACTTTCAACATATAGAGTTTCAATTTCTCAGACAATTATACTTAGTTGAGCTAGATGTTTGTACCAATAGAAAGGCCACATTTTTAAATTCTGTCTCCCAACAGTTAGTTTAAAAATTGGCGCAAAGAATTCCAAAGAGAACTTGTCGAACCCTCTTAGCATTGTTTTTGCTTTTGTCTTTGCTAACACTTTAGAGTTGTTTCTCACCAATAAATGTGTTAGTTTGAAAGACAATTAAATTTTATTTAGGTTTTAGTTTTATATTTTAGTTAATTATGCATTAGTTATGTTTTAAAATGCATATTAGAAAGGTTTACTAAATATTTTAAATATAAGCCAAACTGCCTCGGCTTATCAGGCTTAGTGTAGTACATAAATGTCCCAACATTCTGATGACGTCTAATGTGTCGCTGCCATGGTCACCCCAAGAACATCTGTTGATGTGTGTTGTGTTAAGTAATAATGCTAAAGGATAGGAAAGGAAAATAAGATATCAAAAATTAACTTTTTGCAAAAAAGTAAAAAAATTACTTTTAAAAATATAACAGAAAATTTCTCATTTTAAGCATTTCACTGCACAATACACTGATAACAATACTCAAAATATTCAGAATCTTAGTGCAAATAACCAAAATACAAAAATAACAAATCTTTAATTGAAATATGTAATTAAAATAATCTTATTCTTTGCATCCAAAATACAAGTAATCTTTAACAAACTCAGACCAATTTTTGTAAAGATACATTGAGAAAGCTTAGAATTATCATGAATATTGTCGCACTGTATCATTCTCCATACGAGCTATGCTCATTGGATTATGCCCCATCTCCGTAGGATTAAACTATATAGTTTCATTGCTGTACTTTGAATCACAAGACTCCTTCAAAGAAAATAAATCACCTCAGGAGACCATAGACATTTTGTAAATACTGTGCGATCTTTGTTTTGTGCTTTAACTGCCCGTAAGCCTTAGTGAATCTTACACATTTATGTTTCCAAAAAAATAATTCATGTAGCTTTCAAATAAGCATTTTAGAAAAGAAACAATATATCAGGCAATTGAATAGAATGTCCCAAAACTATTATAATTGAACTAGTTTTCTAACTGTGCTACAAATAGAATAATAAAAAGTCTGTTAGCTGCTTGGAATTGAAAAACATTATCATATACAAAGGATCTAAGGCCAACTTCTATTTATGCCCACCAAAAAAAAAAAGAAACTGTAATAAGCTTTATATTCTTGCTTGTAATTATGTACAGTTTGTGTTTCTGATTGGTTGACCACTCTGAAAACCATATTAGGGAAGATATAACATCTACAGGGAAGAATTTAGAGTGCAGACATGAAACAAAAATGAAGAATGGGAATTTTTTTTAAATATTTCCTTTGGAAATTTAAAATTAAAACTTGCATAAAATAAAAATTTGAATTATAAACTACATTTTGATGCCAAATTTTATTAACACACATTGATTATAAAGTTGTTTAATTAAATTTTGAATGAAACTCAGTAAAAGATTGTGGTGCTCACTTTCACCCAGCTGTATGGAAATAGTTAATATAACATACTCAACCCTGTATAGCTAGTACATTCATAGAGAAACTTTGTCTCAGTAAAATAGGAACTATTGCATACACCTTGCAAATGCAACCAAAATGCTGTACAGTCTCAAAATGTAACTCTGATATATTCTGTTACAATGACTTGCTGATTTGTTTCTTCAAAATAATTTTAATATAATGTAATATCAATAGTCTCAAACAGTGTCACCCCTATTTGAGTAGATGTAAAAATTGTAGCAAAATATTAAAATTCAAAGAAAAAAGTGATCATTGGAACACTAAATATATATAAGTGGGATATGGTCACTACCATCTTTACTTTTCCAGTATTCTACTTGTCCATCCATCTTTAAACTGGAATATGACAAGAATTTCAATCACACATGTGTGTTTGTATATTTGATCTTGGTTATACTTTGTTTTGTTTTTTAGTTTTACTCATGTCTCTGCATTAAACAATAGAAAACCCTATTTTTAGTAATAAATTTCTTTTAATTTATTTTCCCAATAACCTTGCCACATTCATAAATATTTTTAGAAAATATTACAGTGCACAAACAAACATACTTTAAACACACATGTCTTTGCAAAAACATTTTAAAAATTAGATACAGTTTGGCAAAGAGAAAACATTTACCTAATACCTGATGAAGTTCAACTTTGAACAATCATTTTAAACAATGTGTTGACCTTTACTGAAGCAGTATAAAACTGAGCTCACAAGCAAATAAGTGTATTAAATAACATCTATAGATATAATGCTGGGATTTAACTTATACAAAACACTAACAATAATTGTGTTACAGAACACACATCATATACAAGATAAGCAAATAATATAAAAAATAAAATCACCACAGTAAAATGTCCCTTGTATTCATCTTTACCTGTACATTGACTAACAAACTGTGATCAAACTAAATTGCCATAGCAAGTCAGTAAACATTTTCCTTGAGTGAGATTACATCAATCAAAGCTCTAAATCTTAATATAATTGATAAAAAAATATGTAATTAACAATAAAGATTATCCCCATCAAATTAATAAATTATATTCAATTCTATAACTGAGATAGATTACTACAACATGTCATGTTACCACATCTATAAGATTTAATATATGGGTAACCTAACTTTTCTTTTCCTAGTCATTTAACTTTAAAATTCCATTACACTTAACAACAGCTGGACATCAAAAAATTATTGTTTGTTTTGTTTTTGTTTTTTTTTAATTT